TTCAGCCAGGTCACGATCTCGTGGTCCGTGAGTTCGAGCCCCGCGTCAGGCTCTGGGCTGATGGCTCAGAGCCTGGAGCCTGTTTCCGATTCTGTGTCTCCCTCTCTCTCTGCCCCTCCCCCGTTCATGCTCTGTCTCTCTCTGTCCCAAAAATAAATAAACGTTGAAAAAAAAATTTAAAAAAAAAAAATTCACAGATACAGACAGAGAACATATTAGTGGTAGCCAGAAGTGAGAGGAAGTTGGGCAATATGAGTAAAGGAGTTGAAAGGTACAAACTTCCAGTTACAAAATAGATAAGCCATGAGGATATAATGTACAGCATGGTGACTGTAGTTAATAATATGGTATTGCATATTTTAAACTTGCTGAGAGAGTTAATCTTAAAAGTTCTTACTATAAGAAAAAAATTCTGTAACTATATATGGTGACAGCTGTTAACTAGACTTATTGTGATGGTCATTTCGTAACATACACAGATACTGAATCATGGTGTATACCTGAAAACAATATAATGTATGTCAGTTACACCTCAACTTAAAAAAATAAGATCTGCCACATTCTGGTGATGTTTAGGAGATTTCTTTAACTCTGAAACAGTTTATTCCTCTGTAAAAGATGATAGTCAAGGGAATACACATTATTTCTACCTTCTAAGAGGCTAAAGAGGCGTAGAAAGGTATTCAGTCACTCCTAGGAATTTCCTTTGCCACATCTGTTTCCTTTATGGAAGAGGAAAAAAGGATCTTTGTATGTGCTAGGGAGCTATATTTGCACAGTTAAGAAAACAAAGAAATTTCATGCTATAGACAGCCCTTGGTCCTTAACTAAAGACAATATGCTTTGTTTTTTGCTCTTACAATTATGGGTCCCAGAATTTTTGTCCAAAACTTAGATAGCTAGAATATAAAAGGAACTATATATAAAAATGAACAGGACAATGAAAATATCACATTTTACCTAATATAGCATGAGTTACTCAGGGCCAGGAAAGAAATTTGACAAATGTAATGTCTCTGTGAATTTTGTCCAAAGAGGGCAGGCAGTTTGATAAACATTATATGTTGCTGGAAATAAAAGCAAATGGACGGGTGCCTGGATGTCTCAGTCAGTTAAGCATCCCACTCTTGGTTTTGGCTCAGGTCATGATCTCTCTGTTCGTGAGATGGAGCCCCATGTCGGGCTCTGCACTGACAGCATGGAGCCTGCTTGGGAGTCTCTCTCTCCCTCTCTCTCTCTGCCCCGCCCCACTCACTCGTGTGTGTGTGTGTGTGTGTGTGTGTGTGTGTGTGTGTGTGTGTACACGTACATGCACAAGCATGCACATGCTCTCTGAAAATAAACTTAAAAAAACAAAACCAAAAAACACTGGCAAACCCCTTGCTTAAAAAAAACGAATAGGGGTTTAGTTCTAGCTTAGAAGAGAGAGAGAAAGAGATCCAAACTTCAAATTGGCTCTATCAAGTCCTATTTTATAAGGTGAATTTAATCAAGATTGTATGATGAATTTTCACTGTGGAGATGATCATATGATTTTTCTCCCCACTCAATTAATAAATAAATTACATTCGATTTCCTAATGTTGAACCATCCATGCAGTCGTGGACTAAATCCTACTTAGATGAGTTAATGATGGTTTTGTTTGTTTGTTTTTTCTGCTGCTAAAATATCTAAAATTTTGTTTAGGATTTTTAAATTGATATTCATAAGTAAGGTTGGTCTGTAGTTTCCTTTTTTGTATGCTATCTTGCCAGATTTTGGCATCAATGTTACGCTTATCACATAAAAATAATTTTGGAGCTTTTCTTCTTTTTCTAGGCTGAGGATCTGCTTAAATAGTACAGGAAGTATTTGTTCTTAGGACGAATTCTTCTGTGAAACCATTTGGGTTTGGGAATTTTTGTAACTCTTTGACAACTTTCTGTATTTATCCTATGGAATTGGACTCTAGACTGTCTATAATGTTTCAGCATTAGTCTTATTAAATTAGATTTTCCTCAAAAATGGTCTAGTTCATCCAGGCTTCTTAATTCATTTGAATAGAGCTGAAACAAAGTAGTTTATTTGGTGGGGAAGGTTATTTCCTCTATTTCTATCTCCCCTTCTTTCTTAACTTTTGTATTTGTTCTCCCTCCCTTTTTTTCTGAATTAGAACAGATAGAAGTTGATCTGTTGTATCAGTTTTGCAAAGAATCCACTATTTATTCATTCTGCTATTGTGTTTTCTAATTCAATAATTAATGATTTTAACTATATTAATTGCTACCCTATATTTTATCTAATTTTATTATGCTTGTTTTCCTGGCACGTTAAGGCTTAATTCATTTATTTTCATTGTTCTGTTTATTGATACAGTATTTAAGGTTATGAGCTCTTTTTCTGCTTTAGCTGTACACATATCCCATAAGTTGTAAAATGTTGAGTTTTCGCATTCCTCTTCTGGAAAGTTTATAATTTTGCATGTTTCTTTCACCTGCAAGTAGCTTTAAGAGAGTTTTTAATAGCCAGCTTATAGAGGACTTTTGTGTTCTGGTTATGTAATTAAGTTTGATTTTATTGCACAGTGATCAGAAAACATTATCTGTACTATATCCAATGTATGAAATTTATTGAGGTTTGCTTTTGTGACCTAATATCCATTCAATTTATGTGACTGTCTTGCCCTTTTCACAGTAGGCTGTATTTCTAATTTCTAGGACACAAAACTGCATACACACACACACACACACACACACACATTAAATTTATATGTATCATTGAAATGATGTATATATAAATTAGATTTATCTAACTGATTATCTTATTTAGACATAAGATTTTCTATCTTTTCTCTTTCTCTTTTCCCGTAAACTTGTTTTGCCATAGACTGACAAAGGTAATTTAAAGTTTCCTTCCACAATATGTTTTTTCTTCTTATAGCTCCTGATATTTTGCTGTTTGTTGAATGGAAGGTAACAACCATTACATACACATTGTTAATTTTACTCTATAACATTACAAAGTATTCTTACTTAACAGTTTTTGGCGTGATTTCCATTCTAGCTGATACCCATATTGTTTATTTGTTTATTTGTTTGCATTTACTTGGTACATCTTTGGCGGCCACCATTTTATTTTCAACCTTTTTGAATCATTTGGTTCAGATGTGCTTTTTGTATGCAACATGGACTTGTGGTTTGCTTTATGATTCAGCCTGAGTCTTTTTCTTTTTTTTTTTTTTTTTAATGTTTATTTTGAGAGAGAGACAAAAAGTGCAAGCAAGGGAGGGGCAGAGAGAAAAGGAGAGAATCCCAAGCAGGTTCCATGCTGTCAATGTGGAGCCCGACATGGGGCTCAATCCCACAAACTGTGAGATCACAACTTGAGCTGAAATCAAGAATTGGACACTTAACCGACTGAGCCACCCAAGCGCCCCAGCCTGAGTCTTTTTCAATTAATAGAGAGGTTAAGACATTTACATTTATTTATATATTATATATTTGCTTTAATTCTATCATAATATTTTTATGGCTTTTTATCTTATATTTACAATATTTTAATAATTCACTAGATGGTTTGCTTTCCTTTCTCTTCATGTTTGTGAAATTCTGATACTTAAAAAGATTTCTTTTTTGTATTGGTACATGCTTTATAATTAAAACTTTATATAAAACTCTTACTATATTAGTTCCCTGCTATGATTTAATGATGCAATTTCCTCTTCCTATCCCCTCTCCTCCCTCTTCTCTACCATCCAGTTTTAGCCAATAATAAATCCTTCCTTAATGTTGACTTTACACTGTTGAAGATACTGTTTTTCTTTTTCTTTGTCAGCTTGTAGATACTTTTGTCCCACTTCCAAGGAGATGTCAAGTTGTTCTAATTAGGAAAATGTTCTAATTTAGGATTCTCAATTTCAGAAAGCTGTTTCAATTAATCCCACCTCAGTTTAGTTATTAATTAAGGCATGTGGTTGTGCATGTTAATGGAAACAAAAAACAGTTTCAAGTCTAATGATCCCATAGAGTGACATCTTGAACTCTTCACCTGTAACTTAGTAAGAATTTAGGGAATATCTGTTGAACCCATCAATGGTTGGGCAAATCCTATAAGATAAGCAAGGCCTTCTTACTTTCCTGTGATATTATGGATTCCTTAGCCTAATTTTCCTTGTCAGATTTCTCTGTTAGCTTTCAGTGAGTCCCTCTCTCTGTGACCCTATTTGAGTTGCATTTTGTATATTCTTAGGAACTTTGTTCTTGGTATGGTTTTGAAGGGTAGCAGAATATGCTACTCCAAAATATGCCACTTTGGCATAAGGATTATTTTGAGCTGAAGGCAATTTTAAGAAAAAGTAGATACAAGAAAAACTCTGTGCCTTCCCCCTATTTACCTAAAAGCAAGATATACATTTATAAAGTTGTTCCCCCTCCCCTCCCTACCTCCTTCTGGATGAAACTGTAGACACTTAGCCCAGAGACTTCATTAGCAGAATTACATAACAAACCTTACTAGCCCTTATCTTCCATTAGTTTCCCCTCATAATTTACCTTTCCATAGTTTGCCACCCCTAGAAGTTCAAAGGACTTTTTTTTTTATCTTGCCACTTCTCTACAAATTATTTTTCCTTTGTTAAGATACTGCTTAAGCCCAAGTTGTAACCACCCTTTGGAGTTACTCATCACTGAGTACTCCCTTAGGAATGCAGGATGCACGTGTTAACATACTTCTGTTTGTTTTTCTCTTGTTAGTCTGTCTTTTGTCATTCCAATTTTTAGGGCCCATCAAGGAATCTAAGGTAGATAGAATTTTGTTCTTCCCCTACAGTTTCCAATAACCCACCACAGATCAAGGGGGGAGCATCTCAAAGCATAAGAAAATGAGACCTTTGGTTACCAGAAGTATCTTATGCTAAAAGTGCAAAGATAACCATCATGTGGGAAATTTAGATATATTAATCACTCACTCCCCCTCCCCTGTGAGATCTAACTAGTGAGAAAGTACAAGGAGCCAAAAAAGCATCACAATACCATTACACCTTTATTAATAGCAAAGCTGATTAGGGAAATATGTCAGGACTCAAACTTCCCTCCCAAAACCTGGACTCTAACTTCACCCAGCAAAGAACAGGAGGAGGAGGACTTGAAAATGAAATAGCACAGATCTGGCTTGTTCTTGTCAAGCCTTTGTCTTAATTCAGTACAAACAGGTCAGTGATCGAGAGAAACTGGGTACAGCTCCATCAATGACCAACTTGTCTCTTTTCCGGTCTTATCTGTCAGATTAATCTGTCTTCCTCTCATAGAGTACAGCAAGCAAGAGAGCAAAAATGGGGTGGAAAGTGCTCAGTTCTTGACTGTTCCCTCCTGGCAAGTGGAACCAACTCTGTTCTTTGGTAGAGATTGCTGATTGCCTACCCGATAGCCATCTCCTCCTTGAAAGTAACAAAATCCTGATTTTTTTTTTCCAAGATGGTAATGTTCTGAAGCTAAATACCAAGTTGCCCCATCTCCCTTGTAAGTAGGCATGGCCAGTAAGATGTCAGTGGAAGTCACTCATTAGATAGGTAAAGCACCCTCTTCCTTTCTTTGTCCTGTGTCTTCTTGCTGCTTGGAATGTGGACACGGGAGCTCTAGCAGCCATATGGAACCCATGATGCATCCGCGAGAATGTAGCCACGACTAAGACATAAGAAGGAAGAGAGAGAGTCTGAGTCCTTGATGACTCACACTGCCATATCAGCTTTGGACTGCCTACTTCTAGATGCCTTTTATGTTAGAGAAAAACAAACCCTCATAAGTTTAAGCTACTGCAGTCAGACACATGTCATTAGCAGCTGAGGCAATTAGTAAATGATTTATTTCATTTATGGAAGTGTGAAGGAAGGGAGGCTGATAGGTTTCTCTACCTAACACATGGGCTGAGGGCCAGCAATGAGCCATAATCACAGTTATCTTCCCATATGCTCCACAGAATACAGAGAAACACCTGTCCCGGCCCTCCAAACTCTACCCAGAGTTCTTCTTGGACTCTCACTCCTGACACTTGATGTCTATCACTTATCTCAGTACCCCCCACCTATTTAGAATGTAGGAGAATGTGCAGATATCAAGAACAGTTTATTCTTTCTTATACTCCAAAAGTATTTTACCACCTAATCATTACATAATTCTATTTGGACATCAATGTTGATAATAGTTTTATATTTTTAACTTAAAACTGATTATAGATTATAATCATAGACCAAGACCAGAGTTATGGACTTAAGAGTCACCATAAAAATGCATGGTTGTTGAAGCCAGAGGAGATGGAGAGATGCCTGAGGAAGATCCAAGAAGAGAAGTGAACTCAGGTCTGAACCCAGAGGAATCCCAGCTTTAACAATGCTTCCTAAAGGGGAAAACTTCCTTTCCTGAAAATGAAAATGTCATGATAAGATCAGGTGACAGGGTTTTGGTATTGTGGCAGAGAGATTCACCTGAGGACACTGGACACAGAGTATCAAATTAGGTCTCTCTGTTACTGTAAAGCAGAAGCCCCAAACCTATTCCTGTCTGTTGACCACTGAGAACCTACAATTCCTCAACAGCGACCTTAAAAGAACAGGAAAGATGACTTATCCTTGGTTTGGGAGAGGAGTGAAGGTCTTTGGAATTTACAAAATGTTGTCTTTCCTGTAGGAGCAATAAATGTGTCTTATCTGACTATTGTAAGAACCAGGAAAGTACCTCTGAGTTTTGTCATTTCAGATCTTTAACGGGACTGCTTTCCAAAAGATCCAAGCCAGTATCTCCATAAGTCAAACTTATGTTTTCACCTCTGCGCACCCCAGTGCCATATGTAATGAGTGTAAGGAAGGATATTTTGTGGATTTAATGCATTTATTTCATAAGTATTCCTTTTCATTCATTCATTCACTCATATCCTTATGGTTCTGATTTATTCCTTGTTCCTACTCATTTATACCGATGGTGATTTTTTCTTTGTCTCATAGTATACTTGCTCTTATCTCTCCCTATTCTCTACTCTTTCCTAATATCCCCAAGATCCCCACATATCCAGACACAGACAGTCCTCCAGAGGGTAGAAGTCAGCTAGGCCCAAAGGACCAACAAGCAGTTGTTCAGTATGGCATTAATACAATTCCAATGAGTTTAATGTAGGTAAGGTACCTTAAAAGTGCCCAAACATATAGTATATACTCAGTAAATGTTAAGTATGATTATCATAATCTAGGTATAATCCAAATATTTAGCAGATTTTTCTACCTTCTTTTGAGATCTCCTCACGTTAGCATAATTGGAGAAAATAAGGTTTGTCTTCTGTCTCCTCCTTAGTCAGTTCCATGCTGCAGGTCCTTCCCCATTCTGTTCTCAACTCCATCACAGTCTGGCATGCTTCTGGCCAAAGCCTGGAACACTTGAACTACCTTTCTTCTCAGTATGATGCTGCTGCTTCCACATGAGTGTCAGCAGAGAAGTAAATGTCAAGAAGGACTAACTTCTTACTGCCTTGTTTCTCATACCAATACAAACTGAGCAACTATCCAATTTTATGGACGAGGTAAAGGAATACAGGCAAAGAAAAATACATCAACTCAGTACTTTATATTACTCTCTCCATATCCAAAAAAAAGTACCAAATACTCTTCACAGAGAGTCTTCTCAAGGGCACCCCAAGTTCTAGCCTCTACTCCGCCCCATTCTTCTAGCCACACTGAGTCTCCATCTGCCCATCTTTGCACATGGGTTGGTCTGGTCCTGGGTTCACCTTCCTGCCTACACTCAAGGAAGTTTATAAGGGTATATTCCTTGAAATCTGAACTATTCAATATAGCATAGCAGAATCTTCAGCAGAGCAGTACAAAGTGGACTTTGGCACTCAAAATCTGGATCCATTTCAAGTTTCCCTGCAAGCAGAAAGTGTAATATGACTCCTCTTTCTTCCTGATTCTCTAATAGTTAACTGTAACACACACATATATATATCAATACATACATATTCTTAGAGACAGTAAAATCTAAATCGACTTTAAAGAATAAAAGACTTTTCCTAAATGCCCCATAATGTACACAGTATCTTCAGGGAAGTATAGAGGAGAGGTAGCAGTTAACAATCATATAAATCTGTGAAATTTCTTCTTTGTTCTTGCTTTCAGCCTTAGCATACAGTGCCCAAGAAATTGGCCCAATTACAAAACCGCCTACACCATGGTTACCATTCCAAGCCCTAAGTGTTCTGAAACTTGGAAATGAAAGATTTTAGTTTTGATTTATCTTTACATTTCAAACCATGTAAAGAACTCTTGTGCAAGGGCTTCTCTTATGTGTACAAGTACGTACATTAAAGAGATGATTTATGATCTCCCTGGGCAAGCAACTTCTCAATGAGCTGGGAGACTATCTGACTTATGGCTCCAAGGTATCTACATTGGTCTTTGGTAAAGCTGCTCCCATACCTGAAGAAAACATAAGTTCACTGTCCTGGACCTTCATACCATCACCTGCTCCATCCCCCAGCCAGAAATGTTGTTTGGAAAATCCATTTAGCCTACCAAGAAAAGAATGGAAGGCATGGGGCCACATCTTATTCATCTATCTCTTGGGCCCCGTATAGAGTCTAGTAAACAGTAGACACTTAATAGATGCTAAATTGCATGCAATGAACCAATTTAAATCTTACAAAATAGCATAATCTTCAAGAAGTGTATAAGCAAGAGACTTGTGGTTAACTGGAAAGAAGACCTAGTTGAGAAAAAAGATGAAAAGTTCTGCACCTGTAAATAAAAAGTTACTTAAGTATGATGCTTACCAGTAATTAATTTATACAAACAGAACCATCAGGAGAGCACTGTTCTCAGGGTTTTACCCAGCGCAAGTTTCACATCCTTATTCCTCAAACTGTAGATCAAAGGATTAAGCATGGGAACCACATTGGTGTAAAAGACTGAGGCAAATTTACTCCGGTCCATAGATTCAGGAAAAGAGCTTGTTAAATAGGTGAATGCCCCTGACCCAAAAAACAAAGCAACAGCAATTATGTGGGAGCCACATGTGCTGATGGCTTTGGATCTACCCTCAGCAGAAGGAATATGGAGGATATTAGAGAGAATCAAGGCATAAGAAATGAAGATGCTAATACTGGATATTGTGATGACCACTCCCACAACAATAAAAAACACTAGCTCATTGACATGGGTGCTGGTGCAGGAGAGCTGCAGGAGAGGAAGAACTTCACACAGATAATGGTGGATGATGTTGGAATCACAGAAAGTCAATCTCCATATGCTCCCAGTGTGGGCCATGGCTCCAGCAAACCCTATCACATATGAACCAAACATGAGCAGAGAACAGACCTGAGGGGACATGGTGACCGTGTACAGCAGAGGCTTGCAGATAGCCACATAGCGATCATAGGCCATTGATACCAACACATAGCACTCAGAATTGACAAAGAAACAGAAGAAAAAAAGTTGAGTCATGCATCCCACGTAAGAGATGACATTTTCTGACAGAAAACCATTCAGCATTTTGGGGGTAAATACACAGGAATAACAGAGATCTATAAAAGACAAGTTGAAGAGAAAAAAGTACATGGGAGTGTGAAGGCTAGAATTTAGCCCAATTAAGGTAATCAAGCCCAAGTTGCCCACCACAGTAAACACATAGATCCCCAAGAACAGGACGAAGAGGGGAAGCTGGAGCTCTGGTTGTTCTGATAATCCCACTAGGATAAACTCAGTCACTGAGGAGCTGTTTCTCAGAGTCATTCTCTTCCAGGGAGCTGTCTGTGGAAACAAACAATAAAACACATAGATTGATAATAGATATAAACATAGCTGATGGAAGAAGGCTCTAGAAGATGAGCCAGTGCATGGATGTCCTTCCTTTTTACTTTCTTCTCTCATCTATGCACCGCCCCCCGCCCCCCACCCCCAGCCAAGCCATTGACAACATGCCTGTGACTATATCTGAGCTCCCCTGGGCTAGAGTGTGTTCTTGGGCACAAGAATTCTGTCCCTTCTTGAGAGATGAGGAGACAGAATTCCTGCATTCGCTGCCCAAGGACTAACAGAAGGACATCACAAGAGCCAGGAGTACAACCTGAGCCTACTGCCTCAGGCTCTGAGAGACAGGAGCTCTCATGTGACTCACTGTCTCCACCCATTCTCTGCCTCCCTCCCCTATAGAGAAAGCCAATAGTGTCCCCTACTGTCTCTGCACACCCTATTCTCTTCCTCTAAGCCCTCCACTCCATCTCACATCAAAGTCAGTGTTGAGAGCAAAGAAGAGACCAATATACCCTAGACCTCTTGGATGTGGGTTTAAAAGAAAACTATAAGGAAACATGGGATTCAGACATTCACCTTCCTTCTCCCTGGCCTCACTCAGTGCTGGGCTTTATGCAGCCTTTTTTCCATTAGCCCAAAGGAGAAAATGATGTTCATGCATAAAGGAGGCAGCCTCAAGTGTACTCTTCTTATTCCCTTAGTGTTGAGAATCAGACCTTTTACAGACCCCAGTCACCAAGGTGCTCTGGGAATAGACTAAGATTTCTGTTTGTGGATTTTCCCAGATGGTCTACATCAACTTCAGGAGCAAAAAAAATAGCAACTCTCATTTTTACCAGAACCCCAGCTGGCATATCACAGAGAAGTTTATGCTACTTGATGATCTCAGGGGCCTGCTTACAGACAATTTCCCTAGGAATTTCTCAGAGACTTGTCTATGAGGAAGGACTTGCACTGTCTTTGTTGACAACCTGGATAATGCTGCTTACCTGGCATCTTGGGACTCAGTTGTTCTACTCAAATTTCCCCATTACCCCAGGGATTTCATACCATTCATGCTGAATGTGGGGGCTCATTTTTCCTCTCCTTCATTAACTCTTGGTACTTAAGGTTGGCTTTAAAGAAAAATGGCCTTGGGACACCTGGGTGGCTCGGTCAGTTTAGCATCTGACTTCAGCTCAGGTCATGATCTCATGGTTTGTGAGTTCGAGCCCCACATTAGGCTCTGTGCTGACAGCTCAGAGCCTGGAGACTGTTTCAGATTCTGTGTCTCCCTCTTTCTCTCTGCCCCTCCCCCACTCACACTCTGTCTCTTCCTCTCTCTCTCTCTCTCTCTCTCTCTCTCTCTCTCTCAAAAATAAACAGTAAAAATAAATAAATAAATAAATAAATAAATAAATAAATAAATAAATAAAGGAAAATGACCTCAAACTTATTTTAGCCACCATTTCCAGATCTTCAGCAGGAGTTTTGCTAATAGGACCAAACATTTTTAGATCAGAATTGTAGATGCTACAGAGAGCACCTCAGACAAAATGTTTCTAAGAGCCTGAGCTGTTCAGAACAGTGGAGACACCACACCACCACCACCACAAACACCACCTACCCTCAGCTCTATTAAGGGCCACAGGCAGGCCTTTGCTATATATAAG